CTTTTCCTGGGAAAATTTTGGGCCTGATGAAGCCTGGGCTGGTTTTTGCAATATCTCTCTTGTTTCGGATGAGGCTTTGCAGACATCATCGTTGGTTGGACTTGGTTCTCTGCTGAAAGGGTCGAATAAAAAGCAAACCACGGCCCAAAATACATGAGTCTATACAGTAAAAGCATTTTAGTCGAGCGCTTTAAAATGAAAAGTGCCTAATATGACTAAAGTCAAAGGTGCTTATGTACCAGTAGAGTTTAAAGACCACGTGGCTTTGTTCAGACTGATCAGCAGTCTAGGGTTCTCCATCGAGGCTGAGCCCTAGAGGAACGGAAAAGATTTATGAGGCTGGGAAGTGCATTTTGTGTATTCGCTTAGTGCTTGTCAACACCCGTACACAGAGCTAAGGTAGGTCTTGTTTAGATTGAGTATGTGTAAGTCTTAGGCACGTCACAAGCCTCTGACCCACCCACATTCGTTAACTGTCTCCTAAAATGTCAGGATATTGACGTGTACACTCTTCCTCTCTTCCAAAACTGTCAGCTGCTGCTAGGTGGTAACAGGAAAACCAAGTGAAAGAACAGGAAACTGGAGAGGGAGAGAATGTAATGCAGGACCAAGGAAGCTCAGCGGCCTGCAAGGCCTGTGTTCTTCCCTAACAGCTTGAATTTTTGCTGTTTTACGGTGATGGTACAACAGAAATCACTGTGTGCATCTGTCAGCTATTAAAGTTCTCATTTTGAATGCACCTGGATTATTCCCGAGCTTTATTTAATCCCCCAAAGCCCACTCCAGCAAGCCTCGTGATTTCTGTCAGCTGACTTGCTGGTGGTCAACACCTACGGCAAGGCGGCCGGGGTGGTGGTAGGCTCCTGGTGCGTGTCACCGCGATCTAGCTTCTCCACATCTGCTGCGTTCGTGTCCGCGAGCTTGCGCTTCTCTGCCCGTGTCCGGTGGTGTCCCCTCGTAGCAGTTCTGTGACGATGGAGGATTTACAAAGCCAGCAGCAAAACTACAGGTGCTTGAGGAGGGAGCGTGTTCAGGCACTCTACCCCAGCCGGCCGCGATACGCAACGGGCACTCCCACCGCATCAGGCTTTCCCTAATGTCGAGAGCAGTTTATCCCAGATGGCGCGCTTAGCAGAGCAGGGTTTCTTCCGGGTGTTAGCTGGATCGATATCCCCCGTGGTGCTGGGATTCAGCTCCCGTAGCTGTCCCGAGGAGGAGGATGACAGAAGGTCTCCGAAGGATGCCGCTGGGGAGTGCTTGGCAGAACACCAGCTACTGCTGCTGTCTAAATGCCTGCAAACCCCTGATGGGCTTGATCAGACCCTTATTACCGATCCGCTTGCTCTCTAAAGGATTGGCTTGGGAGCAGAGAGCGGGCGCATAATCCTGTCATGTACAAACGGGAAAAGATCCCTCTGGCATTCATCCGGATCCTATGTCACAAGCCTCTTTGCCATCCTTACGAAAGATGAGCAGTCTGAAAATCTGCAGGATAATTCTGGCGTTTTAATACTGCAGCGTCGCCAGGTTGCAGACGCATTAAGGTCCGACGTGCAGCCGGCAGAGGGGATGGCTCTGTGCAGCGGCTGCTGCGTTTCGTGCCGCGTATCGACCGGAGGTGCGGTATCGCAGCACGTAGTGCGCTGCTTTTATGTAACGGAAAATGAAAGGAGCAAGTAACTGAGATGAAAAAGGCAGGTTTGTTCCATGGTGTGGAACAGGAAGGAGGTTTTGGCTGACATGGTTAGCTGTCCCCCAGTGCAGCTGGGTAGCTGTAAAAGGAGGAAGACTTCAGGTGAAACCGTGGTTAAGACCACTGGGTTTGGAGGCCTCTGGGAAGGGAATTAATGCAACAAAGGGCACGGCACAAAATCTGGATCGCCGTTGGGATTTCTGCTGCTGGGCAGAGTAGGTCTTTCATGGAAGAACAAGCGCTGTTAGGCAAAGGTCGTGTTAGTGATTTAACAGGCGCATAAGAGCTGATACGTTGGCAAGATTAGACCGTTAGCAAGAGAAGTTCAGTTATTTAATCTGTCCTGATAACGAGATCCAGTGTTTGGTGCTACTGATAGAGACTTGCAATTCATCCGTTCTCCGCGTGGAGAAGGAAGGAGTGAGCTGGGGCTGACTTCTGGCTGTGCCTTCCTTTGCTTTGCTCTTCTCGGCCTCGGGCAGCAGTTCCTCTTGGGGCTTTCACCCTTTCACCCTCGGATCGTTACGGTTCCCTTTTGCAGCGCGCTCACCTTCTCCCTGTGATGCTGCTCGCCAGCGCAAGGCAATAGCTGCTGGGAGTGCCACCCAAGAGTTGTGATGCCCTCTTAATTGTCATTTCCCCCAAACAGGGCTCCTGAATATCTTCAGCCATACAGGGAACAAACCAATACCGTGCTAGACACGTGCCTTGTGTCTAGCACGTGCGTGTGTTTTATCAAGTGTGTGGCGTCACCCAGGGAGCACTCTGCAGCACAGGCAGTACAGAACAGCCTTTAAATTGTAACGGATTTCCCAGGCAGAACGCCTTCTGGAAGGCAGTGAACGTGAGGAGCTCCTGCTGCTCGTACACTGTCTGGATGGACAGTCGGGAGGGGAGCTGTGAGGCCGCAGGACGATAACTATGCATGTGGTGTGCTCTGAATGCTAACACGAGTTTGGTGTGTTTGTTTCCTAATCCAAACAGAACGTCAGAAGCCTTGATGCATGTAGTGTGTGTTTACTGCAGCTGGAGTGGGCCACAGACCAGGTATTTACAGCCATCGGTGTGTACGTTTTCACTACTGCAGCGAAAGCAGTGGTTCTCGTGTGCCCTAACGACTTCTTTCTTTGTCTTCTGTTAGAGAATAGTGACAAAGAAACTACCTCACTGGAAATGCCCTCATTACCAGCTTCTGATGGGTTTCAAAATCCAGCCCATTCTTCAGGACTCAATTCCAAGATCTGTAATCCCACAAATCAATTACTTGATCGTTCTGTCTCTGCCCCTGCATCAGTTTGCTCACCCGAATCTAGCCTCGCAGAGCCCGTTGGTCCTAGAGCCATCGAGTCTTTTGAGTCTTCAACCGAAGGCCAGATAACCCCAGAAAAAGAACATCCTCTCTTACTACAGCATCTTTTCGATAATGCTTCCTTGGCAAATCACGACCCTTCTCCCCAGACAGGGGAGGGAACCTGTTGCAATCCAGCTTGCCTTTCACAGGAGACACTCAAAGAAACATTTATTGCTGACAGTCTAAAGGAATGTAACGCTAAAGAACGAGACCGTGGTCAGGAATACCCTTTGGAAGTGACAAAAGAAAGTAGTTTGGCTGACACTGCTGCTGAGCACGGGCAGAATAAAGATGGATGTCTGCTTCCAGAACAGGAGCAAAAGCAGGAGCTTCCCACAGACCATCTGACACCTGAAGAACCAGGGAAGGAACATCTGGAGAAGCAAACTGAGACAACTGACCCAGAACCTCCCTGCCGTCTTGGTGGGGTTGAGAAATCTGTTATGGAAGAAGCCAGCCAGTCAGAAAATCCTCCTACGGAAGCGGAAGGAGCTGGATTGGATAAAGCAGGCCTTGGCTGTGTGAAAGGGAGTATCCAAATGTCCGCCTCCTGTGGCTGTACGCGTACGGAAGCCTTCATGGAAATCGACGTCGTCGAGCAGTCCGTCACTGAAGCACAGAGCTCAGCCAGCGAGCAGGAGCAGCAGGCTGCGGAGAGAAGTGTGTCCGACCTGAACTCAGATGCCTTTTCCATGGAGGTGGAGTCGCTGAGGTCTGCCTCCTCCGTGAGTGATCCTCTTTCCACCGGTGATGTCCCACAGTCTAAACGCACCAGCGAAATTCCTGCGAAGTACAACGAGTTGTCGCATTTGGTGACTGAAGACAGCTCTTCCCCCACCAGCATCCATCAGCTGGACGCGGATCCGGGAAGACCTGCAGAAGAGCCGTGTTTCTCTCTGGCATCCGCCTTGAAAGAGCTGCACAGACTCTTGGTTATCAGTCGGAAAGGAGAATGTAAAATCCTTGCATCTGAGGAAGTCTCTCCGCTGGAAATGGCTCGCCAAGAGCCAGCAGCACCACAGAAGGGGCTTTCTGAGGATGAGCAGAAAGGGCTGGAGCCAGCCAGCCAGGAACAGAGTTGTTCCCTCTGTGAGGTGAGGTCTGAAGGTGGAAGAGCAGAGGGGAAACAGCCCTGTGAGTCTGGCACAGAAGACGTCAGCGTTGGGTCTGCCAGTCGCACGCAGTCAGCTCTTGGAGAAGGTGCTTCAGAGAGTCAGACCTTTTCAGGGAAGAGTGAGTTGGTTGTGGCGAGTTCGGCAGCGACTTCTGACCGGAAACCGAGCTCTGGGCAGGAGGAGGTTTTGGCAGAAGGTTATGGGAGTCCAGCTAGCCCGACTTTGGAGCGAAACGCATCCATTTCCTCTAAACCTGCTTTGGATGAAGGTGCACCTCAGGATACCCGGAGCCTGTTCCCAGGAGCACCTGGGAGAAGCAGCAGCTCTGCTCCTGAAGGTCCATGGCCGGCGGGTGGGTGTGAGGAGCCGCCACTGAGCTCACCAGCTGGCTATGCCGGACTTGCCCCGGGTGCTTCTCCACCGCCTGCTTTCCCTGCGGCCGATGTTGATCGGATCCTCGGCGCTGGTTTCTCCACGCGGGAAGCTCTTGAGGCTTTGGAGCAAGCGGGTGGAAATGCAGATCTCGCTCTTCTCGTTTTGCTGGCCAAGAGTATCGTCGTTCCTACGTAACTACGGCAGAGGGAGCTGACTGGGGTGTCTTCTCTTCTAAAGGACGTATCTCGGTTACACACCATAACGTACAAGCAGAATGTTGAGCCAGGTTTTTTAATTATTTGCAGCCAAAGTAACTTGTCTCTTCCGTTTCTCTTGTTAGATTTGGCCTCTTAAGAGAAAGCAAGCGTCCTAGCGTTGTGTGGACAGGATAGCTTTGAATTATGCATACTGGATTAAAATTCGATGTTTTTATTTAAATGTACAACTTTAGACTAAGCTCCAACGTTACGAATAAAAAGCAGAAGCCGTTACGATCG